AAAAATTTTGAAAATCCATCGAGGTATTACAGAGTTATGGCGGTTTAAAAAATAAAAACATTCATATTTGCCGAATTTGGCGCAACGCCACGGCGCCAAATATTTGGTTTACACGGAAATATGAATGGATCCTTCATCTAGGGTCCTAGTAGATTGCAAAAAACCTAGTGGGTACCCTGGACACGAAAAACACCTCGATAGTATACCTGGTAAGTGAATAATTTTTGCATTAACTCAACTTTGTAATTAAAGTGACAACGGACTAGGAAATATTTACCGGTGCAGGTAATGTTTCTGATTTACTACGCATTAGAATGATTAGTGTTGAACGCCCATTCCAATGCCATTCCAATTAATTAAATTCAGTTGAAAAGATGCTAAGTCGTGCGAAACACTTTCCTCGGACTCGGACTTCGTGGCTCCGTATCTTCCAGAAAATCACAAAATGACGACAAGTGCAAAATGACAAGTTTGGGTCGTGCGTGGCAAATTGGAACATTTTCATTATTTTTTTATTGGATTTTTGATATATCTAAATTTAACATGGACGATTCAAGAATTCAAGGCGAATTCAATTGGTCAAGTATCTGAAAAACGCGCATAGTGTGTGCACTGCCCACCTCCCTTCATAGCAGGATTGCACAGGCTCTTCGGGGAAGTGAGCATGAGGGAAATAATCGATTCCGAGATGAAATTCAGGATGTAGTCGGAGGTGACAGAGTTACCCTGATCTATTTCCGAGTGGGCTTCATGTCAAACTTTCTCCTCGTGAGTTTCTCCCCCGGCAGTCTCGCCAATGTTGTGTTGTTGTGTGTGCTTATATGTTGTGAGTAAATGTGGCAGGCATATTGACAGGAGGATGGATTCTATAAAAGTATGGAAACTTATGGAACCTGCGTGATAATTATGTGAGACAATTTGTGCCAATAATATCATAAGGGAAGCTCATTAATTATGTCGGCACATAGGTTCTGGTAGAACTTAGACTCCACGAAATTTAATATGTGGGGTTAAAAGTATGTGCAATGCGGTCACATAAATAGTGCTCGGCCCGATGGAAGTCACATCCCTTGTGGGCAGGTGAAACATGTTTTGAATGAGTAATGTAGATATACAAATCGTATCTTAGCAGGCTTCGATCCAGCTTCCTCTTGGCGACAGGTCTTCCCCTACTCTGCTTTCTCCGCGGTGTCACTTGCTCTGCCCTTCTTACCATGTGCAGCGGTACCTAACATCCATGACTCCTTCACATAAAATTGAAACCACGCTATAAGATGTTCAGAACACTTGGCAAAATTCTCATGGGCGGAAAAATTAAAAACCTCTCAGTACAGCTTTGCATCTCATATCAAATATCAAACCAAATATGCTACTCGAAAGTAAATTTAACCTTCACATCAAATTTCAGCAGAATATATTAACTTTTGATATTGCTCTGCGTGAAACCTAGGGTCGCTTAGGTTGATAATTTTCCGAATTAAGCATTAAATTCTCTCTCGATTTCATTAGGGACCTACGTTCCTGAGGACAAAAGCGCGATTTTACGTTACTTCTCCGCACTCGCATAACAGGTACTTCCTGTTATGCCAGTAACTCCATAGTAGTGTCGATGACAGAAAGAAAAAGCTGGGTGCCACTGTCAAAAAGGTCGCCCAAATTCATAAGGCGTGGAAAAACCGAGCTTGTCGGCATCCATGCCGGCCCGAAGGAAAAAAGGCTCTGTAGATGAACGTGTTAAGTAAAACCGCGTCCCAGGCCCTTAAACTGGACGTTAGGCCTATTCTTTTAAGAGGTAAAGAGATACACTTGCTAACTTCACGGGAAGTATAAAATAGACTCACTAGAAACCGGGGGCTGGTCATGCGGTACCCGCCTGTAAAATGAAAACCGATATTTTTAATCAAATGATCAATTTGTTTTGGTTGAGGATGAATAAAATGGCAAAAGGACCCTATCTACACCCCATCGGTCCAGCCTATCCATAAAAATTTCAAAAACGTTAAACGGACCCGCCATCTTGGTGTTGTGATTTTTTGTTTGGGCGTAAGTTGGCTGTGGCTGAAAACGTGAATTTTCTTCCGTAGGGGTGGAATTTTGTGTCAAAAAGTATTTTTGAAATAATGAAAGCGATTGTGCAACCCCTGGACCACTAACAACCAAAAAATGGCGACTAGACGTGAAATCAGGATTTTGGTCCTGCTCATGAGGCCAAAATAGTATTTGGGTTGTTGAGGTGTTAAATTTGTGACTCCATTTTGGAACCAGAAGAAAGTTCACTGTTGCCGAACCTCAATCTGCTGGAATATGACCAATGGTCCAAACTGAAGCCAGATGTGCTAAACCACACACAAGTTTGGAATTCATAAAAAATTCTATCGTCTAGAAATTTAACCAATATCCCTTAGAGCGCGTACCGCAAGCGAGCTAACGCCAAGACTTTGGGCTGGCGTGGCTTCAAAACGAGGAAATTTTGAATATTAGTTTATCTATCCTTTAGATAATTTAATGGGCTTTCTCGTGATATCGTTACTTTTTCAAAATTCAATAAACCCCGTTCGCTACATTAATTTGTCCATTGGACATAACAATTGGCCCTACTATGTAACATCAGCAACAATCATACCTCTCTTACGCTAAATTCATTATTCTAAATTTTCCTTCTAGTATTAACACTTTATCAATTTTACTAAAGTGTTTTAAATAAAAAGAATTACAATTTAAATATTATTTTCAATGGAATAATTTTACCAATTCTACCAATGTATTGGCTATTTGAACTATGCAAAAATTCATCATAACCAACGGTGTTTGCATATCAATGAAATTATTTCCAAACCTAATTTTCAACTGTAACATTGCACGAATATGTTTACGCAACCTGACATCGTTTTGATTAATCACTGTTGTGGAAACCATCCGTCTCAGAAATTCAGTCGATTGTTTGTTAATTTTTCCAGAAAGTGTGCATACAATTATCTCTATAGGGACAGCGTTAATAAGTCCCACCAAAATAAATAGCATCCCTGGGTTTGACATAGTTTCGTCCCACATTAGAATCGTTATCACAGAAAAGCTTATAACAACTAGCGAGAGGAGGGATAGCATTGCTGGAAGAAAGTATGATTGAAAAATGTCATTCATTTGTATCTCCAATATTTTCAAAGCTCCGTAAAACTTTAATCTTTTGGATACTCCTGACAAATTTGTCCAGCTACATGAAAATCAAGTATTTCAATCACATTATCTATTTATGTGCAATGAAGTATCGTTTCATGGTGAAATATACAGGGTTCGCCAAGATTATAGACCTTGTAGCTTTTTGGCCCTATAACCTAGAAAAATGGCGCTAATCCAAAATATTTGAAAATTTTCGGAAAGTTCCGTTCAAGGTGCATCGTGCAACCAGTCGCTAAATTTAAAAAATTCGAAAATGGGTCCTAGAGCTTACCACAAACTTAAAATATTCGCGTATTTTGCCCAAAAAATCAAGGCCCATAATCTTGGAGGACCCTCTGTATTTATATGTACCTCTCAGATTGGAGTATGCTTTGGCGATGCAGTATCCATACTACCGGAATTACGAAGCTATACCCAATGACGACAACAATGGATGATGCACTGTACCACAACAGACATTGGAATCCTGCAGTGACTAATATGAACCCTGCGTGGGACAAATTTGCATAAGTTTCAGATATATAATTCATCAAAAATGAGCCAAGGAATGGAGGCTGGCCAGGAATTAATACAATTATCAGGAATACACAGAGCGTTGTGATGTTACACGCCATTGTTAGTTGCAGAAGGAAATAGCCAACAATTTTTTAGAAAAATTCATTATTTCGTTTACCTAAAGGGCATAAGTAATAATTATTTACGTTAAGTTTAACAAGCGAAAACGTAATGTCTTACTTCTACATGACCAATTGTACTTTTCCGCGTGACCAAGACATTTTAAGAAGGCTGTTATTTTTCCTTCATTCCTGTAAACTGCCACGTCCAGTAAAATCATTACCACGTAAGAAAATGTGAAAATAGCGCTTATGGTGTGACTAGTTTTATTTAAGGTTGTAGAATTTCTCCAATAATAAGAACTCAGTATAGAAAAAATTCCAAAAATGTAGGCTACGTGGCCTGCAAAAGCAAAGGATTGCAATTTAGTTCTATTACGACGAAATTCTATATTTTTACTCGTATCGTTCCAATATATGTTTGTAAGGTTTAAATGTGAACAGAGAAATATATGACGCTCAAAATGAGGAAGTAAATGTGACAGTAACATTTTGACTCGATGGTCAAAAGAAAATTCGAAAAAAAATTATTGAAAATCTGGCAACCACAACAGCTTATGATTGATTGGCCGTGATTATTTGAAATTTGTGTAATCAATTAGTAACCATCCGACCATGTAAAATCTGTAATCACCATAAATGAAGGGAATACTTATATTGTGATTGGCCATTAATTATTGAATTATATTATAAGTACAAAACTATACTTTCTTAAGGTTGCAATTGATACTTCAAATAAGTAAAAGATAAATGTAGCATTTATTTCGTGGAAGTATTCGAGTTTTACGGTTGTGACAATTGCTAACTTGAACCACGATTAAATTGTATAATTTTACCAAATTCTGATATTTAGGACGTGATTACCTACATACAATTCTGACAATGATTCAACTAATTGCGTGCAATTACTATGCATCATTTATCTGTAATTGATGTAGCTACCTACGTATTTTTATCAATAATTTGCTACCTACATCATAATTAAGTCTATTCATTAATGGAGTAATCGCAATAAGAGTTTTATAATAGACAGATAAGCCAAAGCGTAGACATAACGAATACAATTATGTAGTTCAATATTAATTTAAAATGTATAGAGATTGATTGATTGATTGATTGAAGTTTTTATTAATGGTGTCGAATGAGCGTCAGCACAAGTACTGATTTTCAGCCCTGGACACCTAGCGACAAACTCGACAAACTCGACAAACACCAATTAACGTGATTTATAAAATTCCAAATTAACAGATTTAAACATTTTTTATTTAACTAATTTATCATGATGTTACAGAGTGGTTTTGTGGGACGTAAAATAAAAGTAAATTTATGGCTGAATCTATTATATTATGCCTCGAAAGAAAACAAAATATATACAATTTACAGGAATTTCGCTCAAACTGAATACATATGTACTTGTATCCATTACTCGTAATCATCGCCACAATTAGAGATGCAACGAGTCCTAAATTTTCAAGCCGAGTCGAGTTCGAGTACTCGGCCAAATTTTGGACCGAGTTCAAGTACTCGCTGAAACTCGGTCATCGAGCGCTCGAAAACCCGAGTAATTTGTCATTCTCACCCGAAAATACGGCAATTGTAAAGTTGATTTTAACTCATTGACAAATTACATAATGAACAATGTCGTAAATCCAAAAGATTATACTAGAAATAATTATTTGTGTACTCTCGTTTTTGTAAGAGATCTAAATCTAGAGTAGTGTTCTACATTTCCATCTGTGTAATTTGACATATTTTACCATAAAATTATAATAGTAAAACTCGGCCGAGTACCAAAAAAGCTCGGCCGAGTTCGAGCTCACCAAAAATATGCCGAGTTCACCGAGTACCAAGTCTAACCGAGTACTCGTTGCATCCCCAGACACAATTCTAATATTTATAGAGAAAGACGCCCAAACACAACTGGAAAGGAACCCCAATGAAAACTTATGGATCTCACATTTTGAGCTGGATAATATTATCTTGCTCGGACCAACAAATAAGCTGAAACATATTCTTCTAAAAAAATTTATAAATTACTTTCAGGTCTGCATATTTTGTCCATGAAATTTAAATTACATGCATCAAACTGCGAATTATGTACACATCATGCCTTTGCCCTGTGATCTGTATCTATGCCATAACTCAACATCCATCCTCAATACTTAGCGACGTGCAAAAGTGATATCGCCGACAGCCTAACAACTGCGCCGGCAATCTGTATAGCACTATGATCAGCAGAATCTTCTCCAATCTCGCTAACCACTCCTAACATCATATTGAGGCATCTTTGAAGATTTTTCATCGTATCCATCGCATCCTCACTTTGCTCCGTGAATATCTCATTAGGATCGTGCCTAGCTACATAGTGGCGGGGGGAGGATCGCATCTTATTAACAACAATACGACCCCCTTCGCCAACCGTGTATCTTACAAACTTCCTAAAAACATAGAACTCAATAACATTTTTCCACTTCGTGTAATTTAAGCCTTCCTCAAGGAAATAACAAATTTCAAAACATAAAAAACTGCGAGGGTCATTTATTTCGCTAAAAATTGTGAATAAAGCTTTCAAAAATCTCTCTTCACCATCTCTAAATATTTGCCGCGTTACTTCTTGCACTAAACGATGCATATTAACTTAACTTAACTCAACCAATTCCTCATTTTCCTTTATGACATTGAGTAAACCGAAGCATTTAAGTACATTTACAGCGTCGTCGAAACTAGTGGCGCCAAAATTTTTAAAATTACTTTCAAAATAGTTTTTGATTCTACCAGTACCAAACCATCTTTTCCTTACGCATTCCTTACCAATTTTCTGCATAAGGTATTGAATAAATTTGAAATTAATCCTATCAGGATTTAAATAGGATGCTAGTTTCAGCACAATTTCAGCCATACCACCTTGTCCGTCAGCATTGTCTACAATTTTGCTAACCGTCATCCTGATCGCGGTGAAGGATGTCAATTGATACCCCTCGGAGTCCAGCGGTGATAACGGTTGTTGCAGCATTTCCATTTTACGAATTTGAAATTCCGCCATATAATTATGAATTGAATACTTTTCATTTTTAATCCTCCTTGCATGCTTAATGTAGGCGCCAGCTTGTTGAATCGCTAAGGGAAAGTTCTCCATCAGTGTGGCCAAATTTCTCACCATGTCTGCCTTTTCGTCCGGAAGTAGTCCCCTTATCAGGCAAGCGGCATCTCCCCCATCCAGCGGGGTTAACCGTATCTCGTCCCGAATTCAAGACAGCACTGCAACATTTCTCGATGTGACGACAACAAAACACTTTTCCGGGTAGGGGACCAGTGCGCGAAGTATGGAGGCCACAATTTCGTTCATTTCGTCAACATTATCGACCACCAAGAGCATTTTTTGACTCGCTGATAAATTTGATAATACGGACAGGAGGATTTCCGCTGACTCTTTAACTTCATCCATTCCCTCATCACGGATTGGGGTTGATGTTAACTTTGCCAATTTATGGATAGAGGTGGTAATCGTGGAAGAGTTCTCGCCTAAAAGGTAGATACAGGAGTATCCTTCTCGTTCGATAACTGTCCATGCTAATTTCGTTAGTAGAGACGTTTTTCCAATCCCGGGCAATCCCGTAATGGCCACGGTTGTTTTCGATTTCATAAACAATTGTAGCACCGCGAGTTGTTTGTGTCGTCCCGTAAAAGTGGGGGATGATTTGCCAAGTTGAAATATGAATGGTTTGACGGGGTCCTTCGGGGCAGTAGTAATTGGAATACAATTGGATTCAAGCAGTTCTGTATATAGAAACGTTTTAAAATTTATGTAAAAATTTTTAATTTATGCAAGGTTATTAAAGGTAATTTATTAATTGTTCCTACTACCTACCTGCGGACATGATGAAATCGTTCTGTTTCAGGATTTGAATCAGAGTAGTTAATCGGGCCCACTCTCCCCTCGCTGAGACCCATCGTTTCAAAATTGTATTAAATAATGTAAACGTTGTGAGGGTAGAGTTTGAGTAAGAATTTTTCAATTGATTAAAATCAGGATCTACAAACTTCAGGCAGGAATAAAATTCCTCCCAATTCTTGATAAGTGTTTCATCCTGAATTAAAATACGGGAAACCTTCCCAATATCCATTGTTATGTCCTGATTTATTTTAAAGTTGGGTGATGAGTTGGAATGATTATATAAGGAGTAATGAATAATTTATGGACGACATGGCTCAGCCATACCAACAGGAATTATCTTATCTATCTGCAACATTAATTATCTTATCTTTTAATTGGCAGCGGAATATTGTACGACAGTATGCAAATGTCTGTAATGTATTGCGACTTACTAAATAGTTTATTTAACGTTTCTAACGCATTAAAACACAATACCCGTGGCTTACACAAAGTTCGTTACTCTTTGCGTGGCAAAGTTTGCCAGATAAATTAAATCAATTACTTAAGTTGTTCTGTGGGATGCATTCGTGACGATGCACACTGATCAATGACCGCAAGGTCATTGATTTTCACAATTTTCTCTCTGAGGAGTAAAATTTCTGCCTTTTTTTGATTTCTCCTATGCCAACCGAATGTTAAATTTGAACATTTTCTTGCCAAAAAATTGGATATCTCCTAATATAGCGCAGTGTTAAATTTTGAATCTTTCAAGTTTTTCGAGTTTTTCTAAAACTACTGAAGGACTAGGGAAATCAGAGGGTAATAAATGGCCACAGCTTTTAATTTTTTTATTTTGACGGTCATAATGGGTAAACAATAAATAAATTACGAAAAGTTGGAAAAAGTTACCGGGGACCAGAGCCGTACCGACAGTGGAGACGAGTGGATAGTCCAATCCAGGCCGTACCGACCGATAGGCCGTACCTGGCGGATCGACTTTGCACTAGATAAAATGCAGATTTTTTAAATTTTAATTTAAACCAAAATTAAATTACAAATGTAAATTCTTAAATTTTAAATTTAAAAATTATAAGTTTCAGTAACTCTTCAGAATTTTTAAGAATTTTAAAATTGTAAGTCTCGCTAGTTTCAAACAAAAAAGTAGTCTAGTTTAGATGAGTAAGTTTTTGTCTCGCTGGTGCAGTCTGATTTGTGTCAAATAATTCTGCACGAGTACTGTCACGTTAACAAGTATTTTTATCACTAAATTCAAATTTAGTTCAAATTTTTCCCCAGCTTGGTATTAGTGAATATGTGTCCGGCCGAGTCACGAATGTGGCAGCACTCGTTCTGTATATTATATTACAAATTTTTTACCGCATTTTCCAATTAAAACATTAAACTATTTTTTAAGTCTATTTTTTCGAAATTTCCCAAATCTTGGAAACTTCGGCGATTTTTAGTAAAAAAAAACCGTGACACACCCACCCCTATATTTTTTAACTAAAATATGTAGGATAAATGTCCCAACATTCCTGACATGGCTGGACACGGATTGGACAACGCAAAGGTTTCGAGAACAAATTAAATCCCCAATTTTGCAATAAATTTTATCATATCTTGCAAGTTTCTGTTATTTTTAGCAAAACAACTATGACACACTTCACGGGTGGCTTTTTATATGTTATGCTCACATGTTGCAAGTATCTAATCCAGTCAATAGTTGGACCGATATCGATGAGTAAGGTGCGATAAAATATATAAAACTAGAAAAATTTGGACATTTTTCAGGAATATTTTGGCAGCGGGCTAAATTTTTCCTTGGGTTATATTTTCATGAGTTCATTAATTAATGCATTAGTGTATAATGTAAGTGGCATCAGTTTTTTCCTCAGACATTTCTACAGATTTGGTTCAGTTTTAAAGATAGGGCCCTCCGAATGACAAAAAAGATGGGTGGTCAAAATTGGGGTTTTTGCCCCAGAAAAGTGGTCCCCGGTAACTTTCTCCAACTTTTCGTAATTTATTTATTGTTTACACATTATGACCGTCAAAATAAAAAAATAAAAAGCTGTGGCCATTTATCACCCTCCGATTTCCCTAGTTCTTCCTCCCTCCCGCACCATGACCACGACATACTTGTAATGTCCCCAAATTAATGCATTTTCTTGTAGTTAATTACACTCCTTAAAGGGTTAATGTTACGGTCGGGGCTTATCAACTTCAGAATTATCTTCTCGTGATAACTAATTTTCTGGTGATCTGACCTCGTGCCGTAATGAACTTATGCATAGACTTCACTTTGACTTATGCGTAGACTTATTGGACTTTATACTGGACTTATGCGTAGACTTATTGGACTTTATACTGGACTTATGCGTAGACTTATTGGACTTTATACTGGACTTATGCGTAGACTTATTGCACTTTATACTGGACTTATGCGTAGACTTATTGGACTTTATACTGGACTTATGCGACTTATGACTTATACTGGACTTGGACTTAAACTGGACTTGGACTTGACTAAGCTGGCCTAAATCTTGCCAAAACTACTTAAATCGTGCCAAAAATGCTCTATCCAGCTTGAAGTAAGGTAGACGCAAATGAATAACTAACAAACTTTAATTAAACTCTTTCTGTTAATTAATTTTTAGACTTTATTCGAATATTTGACGACTACAAAAAAGCGAGCTTCTTGCTTGCTCAACTTCTACTTACTTACTACTTCTTACTAACCTACCCAACGTTTACTCTCTCACACAAAGGAAAACGCTCTTTTCATACCTCGTTTCCCACTCAGTCATTAACATGGCAACGGTCACCTCTTCATGGGGCAATTGAACACTTACATTCATTCTTATACTTAAATACTTAACCAAATTATCATCTAAAATTGCATGACATTTATACGTCAAATTATTCGTTACTAAACTTATGCCTCGCCGTGACACTGATGCTTAATTCTTAACCAAATAATCTTATAAAAACTACATAGACTTCTTCGCATAAATTAACCATTATTAAACTCATGCCTCGCCGCAACAGTTAGAGTGTCAAAAGCACTGTTAAACCCATGCACAATACTTCACATCATTACCGTATCTTGTTTGAATTATTTCAGAAGTCTTATTCCTGCCTCCTGCTGCCTCACCCTTATGCGCAATAGACACATTATCAAGGAGAATAAAACCCTTTTGTCCCATTCGCAATATCGACTCGCCTCTTAAAAGAGGGTAAATATTTATTTTGCATCTCTCCGAAGTGCGACGAGTTTGTGGGGTCATCGAAAGAACCACACCTGTGATTCATTTCAACATTTATGTACATATCTGGTAATCTCTAACGATGCGACAGCCTCATCGTGAGATTTAAATGGCTTCTTAATTTGTCCTTTTTCTAACGTAACTTCCCAGAACAATCTGGTTCTAATCCGGTTTAAACCATCGAACTATAGACATACGTATAAAAAATTGTGAGGAATATGTTGTATCTCACAAAGTTGCTTGCGTGACCATATAAATTACTGCTAAGAAAATAATCATCTCATTTAAAAGCTTGTTATTAATCTGACGTTGAAGTACCTAATTAAGCACGTCCGTGTCTAATAAACTGGGCCAAATGTATACATCGCCGAGTTAACGGATCATGATATATTATCTTATTTCTGCTTATGTGCGATTTAAACCTTGGCAGCCATACTGGTTGCAAAACCTCCTATTCTGTTCAATTTTTAAGTATTAACCTTAACCTTGCTGGAAGATGGCCAACGGAAAATTTACACAAGCCACTGCAACAATGAGGGTGATCGAAGTATTGATTGTGCTAAGTACAGGATCACGGAAAGTACTTTCCACGACAATGTCAATTCCCAACTATTTTGATGAGCATGACATCCACTTCATCTCAGCGCTTCATGGAGGTACCAAGAGTAGACATCCCCCTCCATATTTTGGACACATTGTAACCAACAATCCAAACACACCCATCCTCTTGAATCAAATCTATGTTAACCTCACACACGTAATACTTGGCGCGGCGGAAAATCCGATCATTAATTTCAGGACAAGGTCGGGTTGGGCATCCGTCTCATTTCTGGATTCTGTACCTGGAGATACAGATAGAGATACCTGGAGATAGAGAGTTTCAACCCAAGTTTTATATTCCAACACACCGATGACCCCTGCAATGCATCAATTTACAAATATTATTCAGACCACGAAGGCATCTCAAAACTCATCGTCTTCAATGTCAACTACCCTGACGACGTTTTTATTCCCTGCATACCATGTCTCCACTCTGTCCCTGTAAAATTGAGGATCAGCCCTCTCCCAAAAATTGAATCAGTTTGGTGGACAGAAAATACAAATTTACTCCAAAAGAAGGTGTTATACAACAGAAATATCGACCTAAAACAAATTAACTGTCAAGTTTACCATGTTCGACAAATGTCGCCCAAAGACTGCAAAATTGTTCACCTTTCGCAAAATTTGAACTTTTCCATTGTTGGGCGACCCAATACCTTTGAAGTATCAATTCTGGCTGCTGGCACGTATTATTCTCGTAGATTTAGTTTTATGATGCCATACTCGGTCAAGTTCAAATCTGTCCAGTTTTCCATTATAACGCAATACCCGTCCGGGTTGGAAGGCATGGCTGCATTTTTGCACCCGTTCAGCCCCGCTGTCTGGTCGACCTTGTTGCTTGGTTGTGTGACCATATGTTTGGTGGTTCAAGTAACAAAGGAGGACATAACTTTGATCCAGGTTACCTTTGATATCATAAACATAGTCGCCCTCCTGCTTTCGCAGGGAGAGAGTTTGAAAATATGTCACAACAGGCAGACATTTGCTGCACCAATAGTCACAGTTTGGCTACTCTGCGGGTGCTACGTTGTCATGGAAAATTTACACACGGGGGAGATATTTTCATATTTGAGCGCCATCAAGCCTCCCCAAGTCCCCCGAAACATTCTCCCAACTGGTGGACTTAGACATCCCAATAATTACAATTAGCTCCTACTCGATACGTGATAGTTTGGGATCTATTTTGATGGCCAATACAATCCCGTGGTACATTCAGTTTTACCAGGATACAAATATATCCACCCAAATACTCGTCAAACTGAAGAGTAGGCTCACGTTTGTCAGTGCGCTATGTTCCATGGCACACTTTGTAGAATTCTTTACTAGTATTTTAGCCTCAAAACCTCTCACATATTTTAACACGTCCATCGATCCTCGTCAAACGTACGCTATTATGG